GGAGTTAGTGACTTTTTGAACTTCGGCTCTTCCTGTCGCTCTGCTATTTAACGGCTGTCAGTTGCAGTCATGTAGTTTTTCTGGGACCAAACATGACGTTTCAACTGGACTGTCTGCTGACCACCGCCGGCCTGCCGCTGTTCCTGGTCGACGTCTGTCTGGACGTCGTGGCTGCGGTGCAGTTTTACCGGGAGGGATCGTACCTGTGCCTCGGTGTGCTGCTGGTGCTGCTCATTGGCTCCTCGGTGCTGGTGCAGCTCTACAGCTGGCTGTGGTACAGCTACGATGCCTTTGAGATGAAGACCAGCGTGGAGCGGTCCGCCAGGCCCGGGCTCGGGGTTCTGCACTGGGTCCAGTTGGGGATCTACGTCAGGTGCGTCCAGGTGCGTCCGGCGGAGCTTCGGGCTCAGCGGGAGCTTTACGCAACCAGAGGGAGGAACTCCGTTCATCCGCTTCTGTGAAACCTTTGACTTTACAGGAAACGCAGCTGAAGTTCTGATCTGTAATAAGGCAGGAGGAAAACCCGAACCGGTCCGGGAACAGCCGAGCCGACCCGGAACACGGGGAGCTATTGATCAGAACCTGAAACTATTGATCAGAACCTGAAACTATTGATCAGAACCGGAAGCTATTGATCAGAATTAAGTAGAAATGAAAAACCTTCAACGTGTTTCTAACATTTTACAAAAAGAAACAAGTTGAACTTAAATGCATTGCTGAGCCTTTATTTCTACTCAATATAAGGTGAATAAAATGTAAATATGGTAATGAATTAGTTACAAAAACATAAGTATTTATGTCTTACTCATAAGACATAAATACTTATGAATGAGTATTTATTCATAAGTACTTATGAATAATACTTATTTTAATAAGTATTATTCATAATACTTATAATAAGTATTATGTAAAATGTTTCATCTCTGCTTCAGGTTTTCATTTCAACTTATTTACCAAGAAGTGAATGTCTGATGGAAATAAGACCAGGATGACTGAAATAATATTTATTAATGTTAACAAGTATTTAATCATTTTTATGTTTGCATTTCTGCTCTGGTGTTTCTGAGGATGCAGCGATGATCTCTGGAGGGCCTCTGTACCATCACCCTAATCTTATCAACCCAACAGGGCTGAACAGGAAACCTGATGATTAAATTATATTTCAGGAGTATAAATAATTGAGATCAACTGAATGTTTAAAATGCAGCTGAAGAGTAAAAAGGCTGAGTTTATTGCTCTCCATCTCCTGTCGAGATGTTTTCTGAGTTGTGGTTTCTGAAGTTAATCATGTGTTAGAGTAGCATGAAGTCATAGCATGTCACACACACAGCCACACACACACACACACACACACACACACACACACACACACACACAGCCAGTCAGGTGTTTGCTCTGTTGCGTCATGAGGGAAATGTGACGGTTCATCTCCTGACTCGCTGTTGCGTTCTCAGAAATCCGGTCGAGTTCAACCTGCTCTGGAAACTGCAGGATGATGATGATGATGATGATGATGATGATGATGATGATGATGAAACCCAGCCGGTTATTAACTTGGTGGAACCGGTTTCATTTCAGACATGCAGCCGTCATGGAGACGTCTGTGAAGAGCTGCTCCTCCGCCTGCGACGGCCAGGGCGAAGACACGGCGGCGTTCCTGAACCAGGACCTGAGCATGCTGCGGATCGTCGAGACGTTCTCCGAAAGCGCGCCTCAGATCGTCCTCATGCTCACCGTCCTCCTGCAGGACGGGTCGCTGGGGCCGTTCCAAGGTTTGCCAGCATCAGCAGTAAAATCTGGTCATCAGCCAGAAAATCAGTCTGTTTCTCTTTTCATATTAATCTAAGCTGTGAAAGACTTTTATTTTGAAGAGTCTGTGTGTTGAGTTCCTGTTGAGTTCTTACCCATTTTGACTTTAATATGTTGTAATCAGTTTAGACACATGGATGGAGAAAGCGCCTTTACTTCACTGGTTGTTTTTGCGAGAAACAGACGTTTAGATTATTGAGCATCAGAACCTTCTGGTGGCCAAACGTCTCCAGATCCCTAAATGACTCTCTGAAACCCAGCACAGCTGGATCGATGGCTTCTGACCCCGTGACCCCTGCAGGGAGCAGCTCTGAGGTTCTGTAGAGAACGTTTGGGGGAACTTGGAGGCCCACCTGCTTTCTGTGCAGCTTCACTGTGTGATGACCTCTGACCTTCTGTCATCTCTTCCTCCTCAGTGTTGAAGACCGTCGGCTCGCTGTCGGCCGTGGCGTACTGCGTGACCACCTACCACCGCTGCCTTCGCTCCTTCCTGCCGGAGAAGGAGGAGCAGTCCGTTCTGTCCTCGCTCGTCTTCTTCGCCTGGAACCTGCTGCTCCTGGCCGCCCGCATCGTGGCGCTCGCCCTCTTCGCCTCCGTCTTTCCCTGCTTCATCTTCACGCACTTCGTCTGCTCCTGGCTGCTCTTCTGCTACTGCGCCTGGCGGGCCGACACAGACTTCATGGACAGCGTGGCGGGCGAGTGGCTGTACCGGGCCACCGTGGGTCTCATCTGGTACTTCGACTGGTTCAACGTGTTGGACGGGAAGACCAGGAAGCGGGCCATCTTGTACCACGCCTGGATCCTGTTGGACATCTTTGCCCTCTGTGGTCTGTGGTTCTGGAAGATGAGCTGGGATCCTCCGGGCTTTGAGGCGTCCTGTCTGCAGGCGGCCATCGTTTGGGGCGGCGTGGTCGCCGGCTACGCCTCGGGTTTGGTTCTGAGGGTCGTTTACTACACCTGCTTCCATCCAAAGCTGAACAAAGGCGAGCTGATAGGAAGCAGCGCGCAGAGGCAGAGCGATGAAGTGGACGCCCCTCATGATGATGATGATGGCATACAGGGCATGTTTCGATCAGTGGAAGGAGCCGGGCCGAGCCGCCCGCCGCTGCACAACAAGAGGATGAAGAAACTGGCCGAGAACTTTTACTCTTCATCCGCTGATGGTGCTGAAGTCTGAAACCTGCAGCATCAGGTTGAACTGGACTTTGACTAGGCCGTTTCTCCTCAGGATCAGAACCAGAACCCGACCAGCTTCTTTAAACCCATGTTCTGGTTCTGCTCAGGGTTCCTGCAGCGTTCCAGGCTCGCTGCGTTCAGCCGGACCGGTTCTGACTGGTCTCTCAGGGTCGGGAGGCGGGTCGGAACCACGGGTTCCCAGCCGGGCTTAGTGGAATAATTTATTAGTCTTGTTTGGATCGATTTATAAAGATCAAATGTTTTATGTCATGTCAGATAAAGATAATTTTATGAAACTAAACGTGTCTGAAGATGGAGGCAGAATCAGAGATTCACCGACGGATTGTTTCTATCTATGGATTCAGTTTCTTTGTGTTCATGAGGCTCCATGTCTCTGGTTGATGTTAGCGTTAGCAGTTAGCATCGCCAGTAATCCTGCGCTATGAGCCGACAGGGCACAACCAGGTCAAAGTTCACCACATGGTGGAAGCAGAGAACAAACTGATTCCCATCATCTGAGGCAGATTTGATGGGAACAGGAACATTTGAACCGTTCCTGTTTCCAGCTGAAACAGGAAACATGTTTTCTGTTTAGAACCTCCGACCCGGTTTTCAGTGAAATGGACCGATGAACAGAAGAAAGAAGTTCCGCCAACGTTTCATGCCTTACAGGACAAACCAGCTGCAGTTGGACTTTTCATGGAAAAACTGTAAAATCAAATCAAATTAAAATGGAGCTCAGAGTTCTGAGGTCGACCCGCCGGCAGCCCGCTCCAGACGCGACTTCATTTCTGTTTCTTGTTCATCTGAAATGTTTTTTATGTCAAATATTTTTACAGAATAAAATCAGACTGAAAACATTTCTGGAGTTTGTTTCTGTCCAGCTCAGCAGCGGAGAACCGGGATGAGACCCGCTGCGCCGGGACGACTCGGACCTTCAGGGTCCTGTTCAGGTTTTCAACACCAGGAAACTGGATCTCAAAGTACCGTCCACACGGTGAAGCAAGGTGGTGGCAGCATCATGCTGTGGGACAGGGGACACAGGTGGAGCTAAATCAGGATGAAGGAAAACCTGCAGAAGAGCTGGGACTGGGGTCAAAGTTCAACTTCCAGCTGAACGTCCAGGATGACATAAAAATGTTCCAGGTGTGAAAATGTTTCCAGGTAGATCATAACTGCAGGATGTTTCATGACTTCATGTCTAACCCTCAGCTGATCCGGAACAAGGGAGAGAACTGGGTTTCTGCTGAACGGATCCCATTCATGAACTCAGGCTCCGCCCCCTTTCAGGCTCTGACAGACTGGAAGTCACTGTCATGATGTGTGCGCCAACGGCAGCAGGGAGGAGACGTTTATTGAAACAAACCCAGAAACAGACGTGGGAACCAGGAGGACAAGACGAGCCGGCAAGTAGTGACTGAGAATGAGGAGCTTAGAGACGGCGAACCGGAAAGCTAAAGGAACCAGAGTGACAAACAACTATAAGACATAAATAGAGCAGGAATTACCACAAACTCCTGCTAGTTCATACATTATGAACCTTTTACTCTGATTAAACATGGAAACCAGTATGTAGCTCTATATTTGACCTTTTTGTTTTTCTTTTGGTTTCGTTTTGTTTCTATTTCCTCTAATACATGTAAAGCATTTTGAACTGCCTTATTTATGAAAATGTGCTACATAAATAAAATTGCATGACATTATTATGAGGAGCTGAAAGGAGAAAATAATAAAGAAACATGAACTAATGAATCCAGAATCAGCAGAACTAAGATGAACGAGAACTGAATCAACTGAAGAGGAACAGAAATAAACAAAACCCAGAGTCCTGACACACACACCACACACACACACACACACACTCACACACACACACTCACACTCACACTCACTCACACTCACACTCACACACTCACACACACAAACTCTGTTTTCCGATGAAAGCAAAGTTTTTATTCCCTGGGGAGGCGTCAGAGTCTGAACCCCCGGTGCTGGTTCTGGTCCACGGGGTTTTCTGATGTCTGTTTGGCCCAGCCTGTCTGAGCTGGTCGATCGGCGGTACCAGGTTCTGGTCCATTGTAACGCCTTTGGATGCACAGCAGCTGTGGTTTCCACCTCCTGCCAGAAGATGGCGCTCCTCACCGATTTAGGCACATCTGGGATCTTTCTTCCAGCAGTGACCCATTTCTCAGGACCAAAGGAACCCAGCGGACTGAGTCAGAACTGAGAGGAGACTCAGATCCTGGTTCGGGTGGGCGAGGGTCGGACTGGGACTGCAGCCAGTCTGCCAAGTCTCTCGGTCCTGCCATCTACTTGGCAGGAGGAGCACTGCAGGTTCTGTTTGTCTGCGTTACCTGTAAATCCGTGCTACCTGGTGGTGACGCACATCGATGCTACGTCACATTGTGCTGACTCAGCAGGTTTCTTCTGCTGACCTGGGGAAGTTTTGATTTGAAGATCCTGCATGTGATCTGCATGTGGTGGCAAAACCTTCAGTCCTGCTGAATCCCACAGACCAGACCTGGACTTATGATTGTCTTAATGCAGCAAATATTAAAGCTGCAAAACCCTTTTTGGGTTTGGTTGAGCACAGTCACCATTAATATTACTCATTCTATCAAATGTGGATTAAAGATGCTGATATTTAGAAATGTAAAATATATTTTCTCTCTGCATTTAAGTCGATAGTTTGGTTTCTGTCAGAGAACAAAGCAAATTTCTCTTTATGGTCCATATTTTCATTTTACTTCATAGGATCCATGATTTAAAATGTAACAAACTTTGGCTCTTTATGCTTAATGAAATATTTCCTCCTATTTGATTATTGCTCTGAATATTGCCATGTTCTATGAACAAATGATGAAATTTGTCCTGGAAAAAATGTAGAAAAACGGCTGATTTATTATTAATGTCACACGTTGCATGGGAACCAATAAACAGCCCAAGGAGAGCAAAGATGAGTTGATCAGGAATTAACAGTGAAACAGAACGTTCTGTCCGATGCACATTTATGTTTTTGAATGTCCTTTTTGCATCATTTTGCACATCAGTTACTGAAACACCTGCACAAAATGATCCGTGCAGCAACATGTCGGTGATAAAAGCTGAGCTGGTTTAGACCTCATTTGCTCTCATAGTGTTGACAATTAATCTCATAACTTTGCATCTCAGATTCTTTGCTTGACTGCATCATTTCCTGACCACCAATACTCCTGATATGGAACAGACTCAATGCAAAGCATCAGGCATGTGGTCACAGTGAGTCACATGATGTCCTATGCTGTAGACTTTATTTATTTTATACCTGGCTTTCATTAGGCTGCTGTATTATTTTATGTTTTTACTTTACATGACAGCAGCTTGTAAATATAATTTTGGCTTCAGTTTGCCGTCTGCAAAGTCGTTACTGTAAACAAGTTATATTTTGGCGGTTAATCAGGACAAGATACGTTATTTGGGGCTATTTTGTCTCTGCATTTTAAAATATTTTATTTTAATTACATTCTTTTCTATTATTAAACCTTACTAAACAGATGTTAGCTGTCATGATGCGCAGGCAGAACGGTGGTGAGGCAGAGGCATCGTCTCTGCTCAGGTTCACATGATTTAATGAGAATCCAAAAGTCCAGGCAAGACAGACGAGCCGAGCGCTGATGCTTACAGATGGTAACAAGACGGACCGGCAGAGACACGGCTGACAGTAAATACACAGAAAGGAATCAGGGAACGAGACACAGCTGGCAGTGATCAAGGTGAGACAGGACAACATGGAGACGGAGACAGAAATACTCAAATCCCAACATTAGCGATACTGTAATAGCCTGTAATATTGGTGCATATTAATCATATCCCATAATTTCAGTGACCTGCTCAGTTGGGTGACTCATTGCAGCTGCTGCTGATTACAGACATATAAAGGATTAATAAAGAGTTGTGCTGATCTGCTGTCTGTGTTTAATTCCAATAAAACTTGTTTCCCATCTGATCCTGTTTTATTCTAACAAACGTCTCTGTATGTAAAATATTAACAGGTAGATATTCCAGTGAAGGATCAGCTGCTTTCTGCAGCTTTTCATTTCAAACTTTGGTAGGATATTCAGATGAAGGAAGGGATCTGCTTCTGGTTTCATCATCATATCAATTGTTCAATGCTAAGCTAACCAGTAATACCAAGGCCTCAAAGAGGAGAGAGAGATGTTGAGGGTCGCGTTGAGGGTCCCAGTGGTCCCAGTGGTCCCAGTGGAACCTCCAAACTGGAGCAGTGTCTGCAGCAAATTCCAGGACCAACCTGTGACATCTGTGGCTCAAAGTTACTGAGCAGAACCATCATGTCCCTGGTAGAGGAACCGGCTCTGGTTGGACCGTCTGGGTGGGCAGCAAGACTGGAAGGTTTATTTTAACATGATCAGCTCAACGTTGAACCAAAACCAACCTGGACCTGCAGAAGCTGGCGGATCCGTTTAAAGCCATCAAGCTCTTCTCTCAGTCATTTTTTCTGTTTCTCTTTGCTGCAGCCATGAACTGTATTGCTGTGTTAAAAGGTCACCACTAGATGGAGCTATCTGTTCTCAAAACATAAGAACAGATGATTATGTACAACATGTAATTTACGTATCTTGTCCATCATTGATGAACGTAGATTTTGATGCATTTATTTCAGTTAGTGGAGAGGAGAACCACATCAGATGGTTGTCCATCCACTGTCCAGATTGTCCCTGCTGGCCACACCGATGCTCTTCTCCAGGTAGACTTGCTCAGGTATGAGGCGCACACTCACACCGAAGGACGACGCAGATGAGCAGAGATGTGTCTGGAGAGCCTGGAGTACCCAGAGCGAGTGCATGGATATACAGAGAACAGGCAGGGATTCAAACCCACTACCTTCTAGCTCCAGCTGTGCCATGTTGTTTAGATGGGATGTTTTTCATGATATGCTGACATGAAGAACCACGGAACAGTTTCCATCAAGATCTGGGTGGATTGGTGGCGGTAAATGAGCTGGAATCAGCTCTGATGCTTAGTGTGGATATAATATCACCATAAGGTCATCACCTTCCTCATGTAGTGGCCTAAATCTCATTTTGCTAGAAGTTATTATTTTGTTGCCAAATCACTTTTGGTAAAAATGAGTTTGGAAAGTGATGATGGTTTTTCTTAATGGTTACACAAAGTGAAACCAGCAGAGCAGAGCTGCACATGAGAACATTTCTGTTTAGTTTCTGCAAACTGTTTGGTGAATCTGGATGAACGGGTTGTGAACGGGTTGTGGACGGGTTGTGGACGGGTTTTGAACGGGTTGTGGACCTGTTGTGGACGGGTTGTGAACGGGTTGTGAACGGGTTGTGAACGGGTTGTGAACAGGTTGTGGACGGGTTGTGAACGGGTTGTGAACGAATTGTGAACGGGGCGAGGCTTTTATCAGGAAACTAATCTGGATGTGTTTCACATCGGCATGAGAACTGATCGTTCCTTCAGGATCTGTTCACACTGGGATATAAAACGATTTTAGGGTTGTTCTGCTTTCTGACTGACAGGCAGATGAAGATGTTGCTGTTGTTTGGGATCCTACTGCACGGTAAGATCATCATCATCATCACTTCAGTCTCTGCATTTCCTTCTGCTCAACTAAACCACAGGAAATGTTCTGTGAATCCAAACCAGGAGAAAATCCTTGGTGTTTCCCCCTTCAGATGATTTATTGTGGTTTTTGTAGAGATTACATGATAAAATCAGGAGTTTGGTTGTTAAAGACATCTCTGCTCATCTGCGTCGTCCTTCGGTGTGAGTGTGCGCCTCGTACCTGAGCAAGTCTACCTGGAGAAGAGCATCGGTGTGGCCAGCAGGGACAATCTGGACAGTG